TATATATATATATATATATATATATATATATATATATATATATATATATATATATATATATATATATATATATATATATATATATATATATATATATATATATATATATATATATATATATATATATATATATATATATATATATATATACATTAGCGTCCACAAATTAAGAATAAAATGCCTGATGATCACCTATTCCATACTGTTTTGCAGCGTCGACATGCGCCTACTCGAAAACTCTAATGATCCTTAATTATCTTGCATACGTGTCCTCGTGCTCGACACTAACCTTTGACTTTAAATATCAGTAGAGAAGCGTATCAGAAAAAAACCAGTACTGTACTGGCACATGCACCACCATATGTTTTCTGCCACTATATCCTCTACACACCATTCAATATTTCAAAATACAGCACGATCATAGCCTCTCAATGACTACTACTTTAGGTGGCATTAAGGTAAACAGGCAGCTATATATCTCACAAACTTGTCAAAGTCACACACCGCTTTAAAATGCCACAGATCATGCACGTGTACTACCAAATATCACCTTTTGTTTGAATTTGCTATATTTATTTCTAGAAAATTATATCGAAAGAAGCTTTTGACCATTTCCACTCACGTACATATGTGTATTTAATAAATACAGGCAGAAGCCTTGCCTACCTGACTGAGTTTTATATTCCCACACCGGAGTCACTATCGCGTTAGTTAACTACACAAGCCCTTGCATAAACTTATTATCATGCCCACCGTAGACGATGAGGGTGCAGTTGACCCCAATGTCACCTTCGAATCCTTAGGGCTGGTTTCCACACTAGCTGATGCTTGCAAACAACTCGGTTGGAAAACACCTAGTAAAATCCAAGCGGAAAGTATACCGTCCTCTCTTTCAGGCAAGGATGTGATTGCATTAGCTGAGACGGGATCGGGTAAAACAGGTGCGTTTGCCCTGCCGATCTTACAGTCACTACTGGACAACCCGTCCCCACATTATGCATTGGTCCTCACACCGACCCGAGAACTGGCTCTGCAGATAGGCGAGCAATTCGAGGCTCTAGGCTCGAGTTTAGGGGCTCGTACTTGTGTTATTGTCGGTGGTGTAGATATGATGACACAGGCCATTGCGCTAATGAAGAAGCCACATATTGTTGTGGCAACTCCGGGGAGAATTGTGGACCATTTCGAGAATACAAAGGGGTTCCATATGCGCAATCTGAAGTACTTGGTCATGGACGAGGCGGACCGCATGCTTACCCAGGACTTCGAAGTAGAGGTTGACAAAATTCTAAAGGTATGTGTGTTTGTGTGCTGTGTCGGATCGTTTCTTAGCTGTGAGCCTCAGAATAGCATAGGGACTACTTTAAATAGGGCTAGTACAGTATGGTTGTGCTTGTGTTGTATTTGCTAGTTCGGTGTGGTCATACTCGAGTTTTATTTGTTAATGGGGGTTTTATAGATGTATATATATATACATATACATATATATATATGTGTGTGTGTATGTATGTATTGTGTGTGTGTGTGTTTGTTCGTGTACGTGCGCGTGTGTGTGTGTGTGCGTGTGTGTGCGTGCGCGTGTGTGTGTGTGTATGGATGTATGTATGTATATATATATATATATATATATTTGTGTGTCTCTGTCTGTGTCTGTGTCCTATATGTATATATAAATATAAATACCTAAATTTCTACATTCTATGTCTATATCTACACATATATTTATATCCATCCATATACACATATATATGTATATATAAGTATGTGTGTATGTACATATATATGTATGTATGTATGTACGTATGCATAAATTTATATTTATATTTTTATTCATATTTACAGTGTGTGTGTGTATGCGTAATGTATATATAAATTTATATTGTTGACATAAAATACATATATACATATATATATGTGTGCGTGCGTGCGTGTATGCGTGTATGTGTATGTGCATATATCACATTATTATTTGTCATCATAGTATATTTTATTTCGAAATGTTTCTTGGTGGCATATGCGCATGTAAGTGCATTCAATATCAATCTAGAAAGTAACCCAATGTAGATGTATGTCCATTGTTACGTCTGTACGTCTACGTTAGTACTTTTGCGTTAAGCTCTTGTACAATCAATCGTTTTTAGAATATGTCTGAAAATTGCTATACGGATTTCTCCTCCACAATGGCGTATATTTTAATGTTTACCCCTATCCCCGTCTGTCTACTTCTGGTGGGTGAACATATACTTTCTCGCGGCGCACATAATCACATACTCGTATCGCCAATCAAGATATCACTAACACCCGCCACTACCTGTTGGGCTTGTTCTCAGGTTATCCCCAGAGATCGTCGAACCTTCCTCTTCTCCGCCACCATGACTGATAAAGTCCGCAAATTACAACGAGCGTCCCTTACCAACCCCGTTAAGGTGTGTGTTGACAATGTGAGCTGTGATATGTGAATGCTTTGGACTCATTCGTAACCTCTCCAATAGTGTTGTTACGTAATGCTAAAGAACTGCACTTTGTCCAGACAGCGCTTATTTCTTATAGATAGGCTTAGGTTTAGCAACGGCGGGTATATGTCAGGGTGGTTCGAGATGGGAAACTGATTGCATTGATAACACACTGCTCTTTATGTATGATTTGTAAATGTTCAGACGAAACGTTTAGTGATTTCACCCAGCGGCAAATAATGATAATGCCGATCTCAGGAATCTTTGTGAAATGTCAAATATGTTTGGCAGTCACTTTAAATTTGTTTTTCGGAATTATATATATATGTGTGTGTGTGTATGTATGTATATATATATACAATATATATATATATATACGTGTGTGGGTGGGCGGGTGGGTTGTTTTCTGTGCATGTTAGAATGCCTATTAGAGGTATGCATTGTCGCCTACAATTTGTCGCTTACCGCCATATTTATATATATATATACGTTTTGAGCATCAATTTGCTATCATCGATACAAGTGCTTACTGTTCTATCACTGAGGCCTAGTCTCGCCACTCAACCTAATTTCGTTTTTGTTTTTCTGCCTTACATTAATTTCATCACAGATCGAGGTCTCAAAGAAGTACCAGACCGTTGAGAAGCTCATACAATACTATATGTTTATTCCGTCCAAATTCAAAGACTGTTACCTTGCTTGGCTGCTGAATGAGAATCAGGTAGGGCGACTGAGCCTCAACCCACACATTTGACCAATATGAGATACGTGTGCTTGAGTACTTCTGTGACATCTGCAATGCACAGTAGCGATCTTGGGATATTCGAAGCTGGATGCAGGGGATATCTTTACCAGACTGTGTGTTCTGTCTGTGGATTAAGCTGTCTTATGTCTGCGGCTTCGTTTTGTGTTTCGCGGTTTATCGGATGAGGGTGGAGTAGGAGTACGGATTGTAGTAACCCTCCCGTACATGCGCGTTGAGCATGATGCTTAAATCTCCATACCAGCATATTGTGTATGTATACATACATCTGGGTATATACTTCTATATATATATATATCATATATATGCTTTTCCTGTGGGCTGTACGATGTTTGGTGGGTTATCATCCGATGACAGCCGTTGCTCAACCCCACAGATTCGTACACTCCGTTCACAATTTAGCTTATCAGAGGCCAACTTGAGAGTGGTAAAGGCGAATCAGTGTATGCCCGCACCGCACATCATGCGCACATATCGTCCACATACGAACTAACTGTTGAAAACTTGCATCTGATAAGTCGCATATTCGGTGGGTTGAACTTCAACGTACTGTTTGGACCTGGATTATATCTAGGCAGCCTCGAACTAGCACTTTCTTATTTCTCTCAACCTACATACGCAATTGCAGGGTCAATCCGTTATAATTTTTGTTTCGACGTGTGCGAACGCGCAGAGGACGGCCATATTACTAAATAATCTAGGTGTGTATTCGGACTATTGTACTTTATCACCCATGATCGAGGGAAATGTTTAGACCCTCGTGCTGTATGGATATGCGCGTTAGTCTCTCCGCACTTCAATACCCCACATATACAAACAAGTTTTCTTTCTCCCGAGTTCTGTGGGTGTGCACCATGCACTATGTACTTAGAAGTCCTGCTGCAAAAGCCTATACGACCCTGTTGCACATGAACCGTGTCGTATTCTGCTAGCGCGGATGTTTGTTTCTGCGACTATTTGTATCGGCGTGTGCTCCTGCATTGCGAGAGAGTCTGTGATGACATGCTGTTGTCGTTCCTGTACCTGTTCGCACCATAGGCATTTATTTCATTTATGTACCCAGAACTAACCGGAAACAACTAGTGGGTATATATATATATATATATCCCTATAATAAGGAATAGCCGAAATACCTAGAACGTCAAGGCAGCCGAATGCAAATGGTTCATGTTACACTCTCGGGCTGAAAGTAAAGTTATTGTACCGTACTTTGAATATCTCGCGTGCGCAGGGTTCAGCACCATTCCGTTACATGGACAGATGCCACAGACCAAAAGAATCGGATCGCTGAACAAGTTCAAATCTCAAAATAAGTCGATTTTAATTGCCACTGATGTGGCCAGTCGTGGTTTGGACATACCCCACGTAGATATTGTCGTCAACTTCGACATCCCAACGAACTCAAAGGTACGAATATTTAGTTTATAAATATGAATTACTGGCGAATTACAATATAATGTTTCAATTCACGGCTTTCTAGCTTGAGCTCCGGATCAAGAGTATGTCTATGTACACGTGCATGAATAACTGAACCTAAATATGCGAATGTGTGGTAATATACACATCATGTGCGTTGTTATGAAGGCATGCTGTGTATGCATCTATCTGAAGAAGTAAATTTGCAGGTAGATACGGGCTCGCATACGCCTTAAAAAGTAATTTCTGGCAGATACGAACAGGTTTACAACAACAAATTAATACAGGTTTGCTGAATCCGGAACCATGTGAAATGGGATGTAAGCATACCAATTTTTAACTAATTTTCCGATCCTGTTTCACTAGGACTACATCCACCGAGTAGGTAGAACAGCGCGAGCCGGCCGCGCGGGTAAATCCGTTACCATGGTAACGCAGTACGATGTCGAGCTGCTTCAGCGGATAGAGAAGCTGATAGAAAAGAAGTTAGCCAATTATCCGTCGGAGGAGGAAGAGGTGATGCTGATGCTCGAGAGAGTTACAGAGGCGCAACGCTTTGCCGCCATGAACATGAAAGACGCTGAGCAGGCTAAGAAGCAGGTGTGTACTTTGGCTACAAGGTTATGTATATATTTTTTATCGCACGCAGTGAGCAGCCTTCTATTGACACGAGCACAGAGGAATTAGTTATTTGTTTACCGATGGAATGGGACCTCGATTTAGAGGGTTCTGGGGTCTAGAGATTTTTTTTTGAATCGTGTAGGATTCAGTGCTGTACCATCTATTGAAGGCACCACGATCGCATAAAACGTTGCTGATTATATCCCAATGTCTTAAACTTGGCGTAGATATTCAATATTCGGTGACATTGCTGTACTTTCTCACAGGGAAAGAGAGACAGAGAGGAAATGAGCGGCGGTGGATCAAAATCAAGTAGAGGTGGGAAGGGTGGGTTTAAAAAGCGCAAGTAACGTATAAGACACCGGACCACTAGTCGTGTTGGCAGAAGAATGATTTGTGGGTTTGAATAGCGCAAGTAGCCAGCTGAAGTAACGTATGAGACACCGGACCACTAGTCGTGTTGGCAGAAGAATGATG